AAAAGGTCCCAGGTGTGATGGAATGGAATTATGAAGGTGAAGCTCAGGGAGATAAGCATTTTCTTAGCTCACTGGAACCGCATGGGAGGAACAAAAGGATGAGACTGGCACCTCCCGGAGGAATTCACACTCTGGTGGCTGGAGGATTTTGGGAACTGGGGTTTTAGTCTGGGAAGATTCTTGCTAGAGGTTGTAGCTAATAAACATAGCTGGACTGAATTTGCATGGTCTCTTGGAGTTCCTTGGGCTAGGCCTGACAGTTATTTTGATCAATGTAGAACCAAGTCCTATTGAGGTTAAAGAAATATAAAGAAGGAATGCAGACTTCTCTCATGGAGGTACATAATATCCAGGATCATGAGAATGCTATAAATAAATGAAGACCAAACATAGCAGAAGGGATACCATGGGATAATGATATATTAGAAATTGTGTTTATACAGCAGTACTGGGAAACAGATTTTCTTGGTTTAAAAATTGAATTCAGCCTGGCAAGCTTCTCAGGTCTGAAAGTGCAATTTGAAAATGAACAATAGAAACCCTGTACTACTTGCTACAGCTACCGAAATAAGATATGTCTATAAGGTGCACACATAAGGTGCACTGGATATATTGATCAATATGACAGTTATGAATCAGATTATTCCTGATCCATGTCCATTTCCAATAGGCTCATTTTAACATTAATCTATTTTTGTTTTGTTTTGTTTTGTTTTTCATATTTGTGCCAATAATGATTTATTGTGTGGTCTCAATTTATTGCAACGTCTTTTGGTTGTTTGCCTCCTTCAGGTTCTTAATCAAACATCCCGGCTTGAAATTCAGCTGCTGGAAAATTCCTTATCTACTTACAAACTGGAGAAACAATTGCTCCAACAGACCCATGAAATCTTGAAAATCCATGAGAAAAACAGGTGAGTGTATAATGCATAGTATGGTCTTTGAGCTCATCAGTATCTTACAGTCTTCACTACAATGTCCAAAGTCAGATGTTTGGTTCCAGAATATTCTGTTTTTTCTCAAAGAATGCCCCATTATTTATACCAGAACAAGTGAATTCAAATATTCCTGGAGTGCTTTGTACATTTTCAGGTGTGTCTCATCCAGAACAAGAAGTACTGTTCTGGACATGTTCTACTTTTGACTACCAACACATGAATGGAAGAATATTTGGAATGTCAAGGCAACATTTCCATGACATTGTAATTTTCTCTCTCACTGGAATTTCTTTATTTGGAGAAGCATTTGATAGTGCTGCCATCTGGGAGTTGCTCCCAGAGAGCCCTATAGCTTCCACTGTAATGAAAACTATTAAATACCTGGTTGTTCTCTCAGGCATTGGGATAGGATGATTGTGGAGTCCCTATGGTTTTTGTGATATTGAGTTAGTTTTCTGGTCAGCTCTGTTTTTTATGTAGTTTTTCTTTCCTTTTCAAATGTAAGCTGCCCAGAATTATTGAGGAGTTGCCCCCCCCCCATTGAATGAATGAATGAATGAATGAAATCTGTCACGAGAAACGATACAGCTCAGACAAAAGTTCATTCCTGTACTTCAATAAGAGCCAGAATATATAATAGGAATATATATATATTCAAAAGGACACTTTGTTTCTACAAAGATTTGACGGAAGCATCTCCAGAAAGTGTCAAAGTGCCCCATTTCTAAATGAGGAAGCAAAGTGGCTGAAGAATTTTGCCCTGCTTATCTAAAGTAGCTACTATGCAGACACAAAGCATGCACAAATGCTTTGTAGAGGTGGAGTGACTTACCTCTTACCATACTGAGACAGAACAAGGTGTCTCTGGAAAGTGAAGCACCACAAATGGGTGGTGATTGTGTAATCCCCACAGTTTGCATGAAAATATAGAAAGTATATAAATATATACTGGGTAGGAATGTATCTCTCTATCTCTCTATCTATCCATGCATACAGACAACGTACCCTTGGAAAAAAAATACATCTTTGTAAACTGCAAGATGAAATCACTGAATTGATACCTCTAGATCGTGTTTCTCAACCTTGGCAACTTTAAGATGTGTGGACTTCAATTCCCAGGATTCCCCATTCCCCATGCTGGCTGGGGAATC